GGCGTGCACTACCCGCACTCCACAACTACCGAGCGGCTTGACAGCATCCTTCACCCCTCTGCCGGTCATGCGCTCTGGTGGAGAAGCGCCGTGCCTTAAGTCCTTTCGGTGCGTTTCGTTCCCTAAACGCGTGCGTCCCTCCGTTTACCGACTCTTGTCTGGTGTGGTCTGAGTGCACTTGGGAGCGATTCACAGATACACTCACACTCCGCTCTACCGCTTGGCGCTGTGTGAGATCAACGCGTCCAGAGGAGCCAGCAACAAGTTTTGCATTTCTGCAGCCACTTCCATCCACGAGGTCTCAGCCAATCAGAGCGGCCAAAGAAAGCTTCGAGGGCGGGACAAACGTTGTTAAGGTGGTCCGCAGAGTCGACGAGCCTGGAAACTCTTGCGCGTAAATCAGGCTTTCACTTAATGTTGAGTCCAAACCCAAAATATCAGATTTGAACTGGACGCGATCTGGCAGACACAAAAAACATTTTTTCCAATAATTAACAGGATCTATTCCCCCCTACTGCACCACAGATTTGTAGTCTGCAACAGCTTAGGTGAGTTCAAAATCGTGCGACTCTCAGATTCTCCACTGGAATAACAGAGCTTGGAGTGGAATTGTGCACGCTGCTGTTTTGAATGTTGCTCTTCACCTAGAAACAAACTTCTTTTAATACCTTGAACCCACTGATCCATGCAAGTGAGTCATCTTAGCTGGGACTTGTTTTCAACAAGATATAATGCAACAGCCTGACTGACAGGCCTAAGTCGATGGAAGATGTAGTTGTACTACTAACAACAAGCTGCAGCTGAACTATTAAACCAGCAGTTTCTTGATTTTGTAAATTTTTTACAAAGCATTTGACATGAACTGGCATGCTGAAGCTACATGTCTAATTTGTTCTCATGTGTGAAAAGTCATAATCTCAGTCTGAAATCTATTAAAAATGCCAAATATCGCACTTAGCAGAGTGATTTATTGCAGGTACAGACTGACTTGTCAGAAATGTATCCTACAAGCTTCCATTGATGTCAGGATAAAGGTACAAACCAGACTAACATCAGCCTATGAAGTGTGCGTCCATCACGCCTCTTTGGCAAATCAAACTCGCCACCAATCTTGTGCGTAAAACTGAGTCCCAGCGGGGGAAGAGAAAAAAAATCCTCCTTAAAACACCATCTGAACTAAATCATGTGGATGATATTGGGCCTCGGTTCCGATAATCAATAGCGTTCTCTTAGTATTATGGTCTTTAAAATAGAACATTTTTGCAAGGCTAGATTAGGATAATTTGTTTTTAAGGTTAATTAGCTGCAGGCTTACAATTGCTCAGGTTATCTGTGTGAGGTTAAGTGGTGTTTTATCCTAAGATAACATGTACAATTATCGGAAACAGACTATTTTAATGTTCTTATGTGTTTGAGACAATAAGTACCAGTAAAACAAAGCCAGCATGTCTGTGTCCCAAATTAATTTATCATATTTTAATAAAGCAAATAACATCCTGGCATATTTTTACTGCATGCTGTAGTTTCATTTATGTCTAATATTCTATTTATCGTTGTGTAATTCAGATTCATCTGCAGCTCACACATCTGTCTTTAAGTGTTTTTATTCAATCTGAATTTACGACACATTTTGCATCATGTACTTTTCCTGAATTTTGATAAAATTGTGCAATTTTTCTTAACAATAAAAGGTAATACTAAAAAAAATATTAACACCAACTTTGTCCTGCATTGAATCCAGGTGTGCATTTTGGGGTGTCTTCTAAGATTTAAGAGGCCTCTAATTATTTGAAATAAAGAAAACATGTGGGCAAACTGAACAAAACGTTCTTTCATTCACCACCATGGATGTTTTCTTTGGTGAAACGAGAACACTATATCATCATCCTTTTCCGACATTGTGGACAGTGGGAGAATTTGGTGTCAGACAGCTCTGTGCCTTTGGGGGGGGACATGGAGGACTTTTACCAAACAGACACAGTGCCACCTAGCGGCTGGCGTCAGACAGGGTGAAGGATACCAGCAGTGGTTCAGGCTGAAGCTCTCACAAAATAGTTTTACATAATGTGAAGCATTAAACTGGTACACACTGTAAATACACAATCTTCAATCTAAATATGAATCCGAAGGGAACGAATGCTAGAAAATGTGGTTTATAAGTAAAATAAAATCACAAAACGCTTGCAAGTAATAGTGTACGAGGGGATTAAAGTAAATTATTTTCTAACTATGCTGAACTAGCTCTGGTAATTTAAAGTCAAAAGAAGAATTCAATAAAAGACCAGTGATATAAGATAAGATAATTATTTAGTTCAACATGGTTCCATTTTTTCAGACACCACAAGATAGTTATATTGGATAGAATGTAATTCATTCACCAATCAGGTTTGCAAATATATTTGCATATAATGCTATAATTTTCTAATTTGCTTTTTAGTGTCGTGGAGGATTCACAGGACAAAATATATGCATGCAAACGGCTCCGTATAGCACAAACTTCTGGCTTACAGAGGCAGACGACATATGCCCGGCCTTGCATCAAGAGGGGAGAGCTGTATGTCAGAGTTGAGCCTGAGAACAGGTCAGGACAAGGCACTGAAATGTGGCGGGAAGGAGCATGTGTGCAAATGCACTTCCTGCAGCCGAGAGGACAGGCGCTCCAAACGACGAGGCAGGGGTAGACAGAGGTTGTGTTTCGAAGGAGACGTGGAGCAAAGTGGCTACAGCTACACGAGGGAGGAGGAGAATATATTGAGATGTGCTAAAGTGTGCCGTGCTCGCGTATTGTGTTGAGGAAAAAAATAAAATCACATTCCTTCTCAGAATCACCTTGCTGATGGACTGCTTCTATATCCGAGAGCCATCTGGATGTAGCGTCATAAGAGTTTAACCAAACAAACCTTAAACTGTGTGCTTGCCACTGTGTTTGAGCTGTGGAAACCCCTTAGAAATACCAGGATTCCTGCTTATTTCTCAATTGGTAAACTGTATCACACACACATAAAAGAAAAACATTAGTCACACTAGAAACAAGTATCCTAGAGCTCAACAGCAGAAAAAGAAAATCAAGATACTGCTCTATCTGACTGTAATACTAATGACCCTGTGATACAGTCCCTGCTAGCTCTGTCTACACTGTCTTCTCAAATGGAGACAGACAAGTTAAGTATGACAAACCGATGGCACGGTCTCTTTCCTCCTGAGTCCCCAGTGATGATAAATGTAGCCCAGAGCTGCTGCTGCTGAGGCGACTTCATGACAATGGACAGTCTACAGGCTTTCAAGCACTGTCACAATACCACTCTTCTCTGCAGTGATTTAGTACTCAATTTGTCTCAATATTTTACTCAATAGGACAAGATAGCAGAAGTGGGTGCCCTTCTCTACCCTTAATTCATGGTGTTAGGCTTTTCCTCAGTTGGACATATATTACCGTGGGGGCTGCCCAAAGAGACAGTTCCTTCCCTTGTTGGGGGGTACAGCGTCCTGTGCAGTTGAGGCTTTGAGGACCGGAGCCTCAGCGCGTCCTCTATGGGCCTGTCACTCAGCTGAGCCATCACAGCTCCCTGGGTCAGGGCAGGTTAAGCAGCATCTGTCATCCAGAGGAGCGCCATTGTATTAAGGGGAGGGATGCGACAGACCCGCGGCGCACACACATCGGTCGGCTCCACACCTCTCTCAGAACAACAGGAAGGACTCAGGAGAATCTCTGGGGCTAAACTTGACCCGCGCCTGGAGGATGAGGAAGCGCTCGTGACATCACTGCCAACCCCGTGCACGCCAGAAATAACTTTCCTCTCCAAGAAAACCTGCTGCCCCTGAGCAAATGTGGCCCCAGGGGAGGGTCACATACACAAACATCGTAGGTGTGGACCAAACTGTGAGTTTAATCTTCACTGTGCCACTTCCTCCAAAAACAGAAGCTCTCACCCCAGTGTGTTGTCTTGTAGCAGGAAATGCAGCCATGTGGTGTACGAACACTGGTACAGCTTTTTTTTTTTTTTTTTAGTTAAGTGTTGTAGGCCTACACAAATTATTTTGACAGATTTGAGGAGACTGTGAATTCTGCTAATGCATTAAAGCAGTAAGCTGGTCTCTCTGGCGACCACAAAGTGTTTTTAGCTCTGAATGTTAAGACTTTCTTTGGTCGCATGCCTGGATGTCCTGCTGTGTCAAGTCTTGAGCCTCTCTTTTGAGATTCATTTCTTCTCTTCATCTGTTGCTGTATCTATTTAAACGACAGGGGCTCACTCATGACATGTCCCTTCATCTTCTCTGCGAGGGAGACACATGGATGGATGGATGCCTGCCTACTGTAGACTACTGTGAGCTGCCACTAAACAGGAGGTGTGTGGGCGAGTCTGCCCATCTCCTCTTTTAGAAACAGCATTATTTGCTTGTTCTGTGGCAGATATGACTGGTTTCCTTGCAGCAGGCCCATGTGACCGTTCCTCCACAAACAATAAAAAAGACGGCTATCTCAGCCAGCAGACTGGCGGCTTTTCCTGCTCTTTAGCACAGATTCCGCTGTTATTGTGTGACTCTTCTGACCCGCAGGTCGCACAGAGTCTAGTCCACGCTGGATTCGCCGCTAACTTTGCTGAATAGATTTGCATTTTAAAGAAGAGAATTAAAAGTTGTAATTAAGCCTCAGCCCTTGTCAAAGCCACTCGAGTTAAATTAAAGCATAAAACATACATATTCAATCAAAATCTGTTTGTGTGAATCACTTAAAAGACGGCGACTGAGATAGCAGAGCTGGATATGTAGTGAACTCTGCATGCACAGATTTGTTATGTGCATCTGTGGACTTGCCGTTGTCAACAGTGGGTGTGAAGTTTTCCAAATAAATAAATGGAACCATGACGGATCTCTCAGCAAGTCCACTGGCCCAAAACATGTACATGAGCACTAAGGGAAGAGTCTGACCACATCCCCTTAGGCAAAGTCTTAAATCTCCAAAAACCACCTGTATAAAATCACACAGAATCTCCACAGAATGTAATTTATTTCCCAGACAAAATTTATTTATACTTAGGAACAATATGTAGACTTAATGGCACACAAAAAGATCTACAGAAAGAAAAGGCACAATATATCATACATTCACTACCATGTCCCCTGATTTTCAAAAGCTGATCAGAACCTTTTAAAAAGCAAGCTTTAGGAAATTAAACAGTTGTGGATTTCATAAATTAGGATAAGATTGTACAGTTGCTTTGTAAATACTTCCTCTCGCCAATATCGTTGTCTTGACATATGGCAAACAACTGATTGAAGTCATTGTCTTAAGCCATTGGGTTCTCTGTTCAACAGACAGCAGGAATCATTAAGATTGACTTGGAAACACTGATTACACTGTAGACCAACTGTTCCACATTTTTGCATGCTTATAATTCCAGTACAGTAACAAAGACCAGGTGGCTGTCTCCCATATACAGTGATAGAAATGGAATAAGCCATATCGCAACCATCGTGTCGTATTGAAACTGGCATGCTGTATTTAGGAATATGGTATTGAGAAAGGACATCAGTTGTTTGGTGCAACTGATGAGTAACTATATCCAAAAAAAAAAGAAAAAGAAAAAAGCTTTGTGTTGTATTGTTCACCTGAGCATTTTTGTCACTGACAAACATCGCCTCAGACAACAGCTTCCTAATTTTCCTATAATAAACTACAATTGCTGAACACATGTAAACATATCAGAAATCCATTTACACTCTTTGGACAAGCCAATAATCCATTATTGGGGAAGTGATCACTTTCCCTCAGACTGACAGGAAATAAAAACATTAGACTCTTTGCACCAAGAATATTTTGTTATATGTTTGTCTTCAAAAACATTTCTAAAAAGCTTTTCTTGTTTTTTTTTAACACTACAAAGAATCAACACTGAAGGTTGATAACGTGTGGTTCTAAAGCCTAAATTGCAAAAGTGCGCTTTAGAGTTGAGAGTCAAGACTCATTAATATGGCATATCTATCCAACAGCTGGTCAGAGGCAGCGATGTGAATCTGCAGCCCTTTGCGGTGACACAAGTGCACACTGGCTGTTACAGCCGCAACGAACACAATTTTGCTTGCTGAAGGAATTGCACTTGCTCAGGTGCTGTGACGCGCACTGGAAAAACAAAAGGAATCGTATGCAGTTCCACGCCCTGAAGAAAACTGAGAGTCATCACAAACAACTTAGCTCATAAAGCTCTGTCTGCCAAGATTTACTCCTAACAAGCAGCAGCTAACAGCTAATGCTAACCCTTAGGCATCAGGAAAATTGCCAGTCAGAAATGAGGGAGGTAGCTAGAGCAATAGCTGGCAGCGGAGGTACGATAGGTGTAACAGGTCTCATAGGTATAAAAGGTCCAGAGATTAAGGCAAGCAGTGCGTGGTGCTGGTGTTGACTGGACACTGATAAGGCAATTATAAATCTGTAAACACGGCTGGAATGAAGCAGAAGACGAGGCCTGTTGGAAAGCGTCTACCTCTGAGAACCAGATGAGTGAGACAGGCCTCTGGGGTGGGCTGGGTGAGTGCAGTACAGTTTGGCTTGTGACAGAGGCTGGAGGGGTGTAGCACCATCTGTGGCTGTTTTTCAGTGCAGTTTTTCCTCTAGGGACATCTGTTAGGGAGGTGAATGCTGTGTTGTATGTTATGTGTGAATGTCTTCAGAATAGCGAGGGTGGAGGGGATTGGGGGGTGGGGCGTCAGTGAGAGCTGTAAACACATCCAAAGGAACAAGCCTGCATGGATCTGCCCACCTTGAGCTTTTAAAGGGATCAGTCAGCGCAAAGGTATCCACACCTGGGAGTGTGTGTGTATATGCGCAAGAGTGAATTTGCATGCTTTTTTTTTTTCGCAATGTGCGCAATGTATGTGTCATACGCATGTGTGTGTGTGTGTGTGTGTGTGTGGGTTTCTATTAAGTCTGCATGAGAGTGAGAGTGAATACCTGTACAGGCATGATTGTCAGTGTTAATAAGATGCAGTGCTTTGGGTAAGGTGGGGCGATGGGAGAAGGATTACAATGGGCCAAGGCGCCAAGGGTGTTAGTAATCACTTAATGGAGGCTGTGGCAGGAAGGAACATGAGTATGACAAACAGTCTCATGCCAGGGAATGCAAACCACTGAGCCACAGTGTGTACAGTTAAGACCAAGGAGGAGACAAAGAGAGGTCATACAGGGCATCATCTGGTGAGGAATGTGTTGGAGGCAATGCTTAAAAAAAAAAAAGTAAATAATACAGAGGAAATATTTGATCCAACACCTATCACTGCGGAATTAGGCTGATGGATTTTGCTTTCATAAAAATATACATACACTGCTCCTCTTCATATCTCTCCAGAAGGCTAGGTCTCAATAACATGATGCTGATAGCTGGCCTTTCACTGCCCAGGAGATCAAAATTAACCAGAGTCTTATCTGCTAGGATCGTGTTGGTTTCTAGAAATCAATTCCTCACTGGATAGAATGTCTATGATTGGGTTCAAATCAGGGATCTGCTCTATTGATTGCAGGTAGCAGTTGCTCCCTCCTCCACAGCCTGAATCAGTTAAGGTATAAAGTGGCACCAGCGGAGCCCTCTTAGCAGTCTCCATCACTGCTGTCATCGTGGGTGTTTAAAATCCTTTGCCTTTTCATTCGTCTGCAGCGCTGGTTCCTCGCACTTCACCCTGTTTGCGAAGCTGTGGGGAAATGGAGAGAGATAAACACACACGCGTTAGATTTATGCAGGCTGAAACAGGTGAGGGTGGGTTCAGTGAAAGCCTGCATTCAATGGAGAGTTTCATGAAAAGCTGCTAGTTACAACACAAAGGGTTTACACTCATTTCTATTCATTACATATGACTTACGGTTTTAAAAAAAAACATTAAAAATACAGCATTCCTTTTTTGCAAACTGAAATCTCCAGTTCCTTAAAAATCGGCACCAACAGTCCTTATCAAGCCTCCTGTTTGTCTTCTAGGTAGATAAAAGCATCACTTTCAAATTCTCCCACCCTGAGGCTGATGGCTTTGGAAAGTCAATTAGTGTTAGAATCTGATAGCCGAACACCTTAATGGAACAGTTCAAACTAACACTGGCTCTAAACAGAGGAATAGACAGATCTGATGAAATGGCATGAGGATTCACCCTCCCACTTCTCCATCCTTTTTCCCCATCCTCCCTCCCTTTTTTCTCAATCACAGCACAGACTCCTTCTCAACTGCAGAATTCCATTTGTATGTTAATGAGGAAAAAGGAGCCATCTTGAAGCACCCCACCACACCCACCCTTCCCTTTTCTTGTGCCTTCTCCTTCTACACCACCCGACCACTATATATATATATATAAAGACTACAGACATGACTGTCGGTGCATTGTCTAGTCAACGTTGAGTTTCTAATTCACAGAGCGCGGTCTTGTCTAGAGCGTGAATGGTAGTGACTGTACGTAGGCTGTGGTCACCATCACACGTCATCCCATAGAGTCCGACTGCGACCCTGCTAACCTCTGAGGTTCAGGCCTTGTTGGCCTCCTCACCACAGCACTCTTTGATGGCACCCGCCTGTTTACTTACTCCAAGGGAAAATGGGAAACACATGCTGAATTGGGCGAGATGTAAGAGGGGGGAAGGCAAAGCACAAAATGCTGTATGCTGGTAGTAAGCCAGGAATGTTTGAGACTGGCCCACTTTGGCCAGTCCAGCCCAGATTCCACCCTTGTTCTCCTTGTACGGCCAAAAGCTCCCAGACAGATCTTTGGAGTAGCTTCAAGTGCAAAGTAGTGGTAAGGTTTTACAGAGAATGCGAGTCGCAGAAATTGAAGCCCATGATTTCCAAGTGGACTGTTTTTCTTCTCCTTCTTGTATTCCTCTACGGGGATGCTCTGGATTGACAGGACCGAGGCAGGCCTCAGTTTTCACTTGCCACCTTTTATAAAAAATGGCATGTGAGAGTCTGAGAAAAATGCACCAAGCAAGGCACTTGCATAGACATGCAAAAGGAGATTTTCACTGGGTCAGCAAAACACCTAGCGACCTAGCACATACATCATTTTTCTGGTGTTATTGATTAACTAATTCAGAGTGAGCTATGGAGTTACATGTGAAAGTATATACACCCATGCAATTACACACAGTGGACTAAAAACCCCTTTCACAACACCGAAGAATCCAGAGTTAAAGCAGCATAGGAGTGCAGCAACACCGAAGCCCCACAGGGAACAGAGAAAGCATCTAATAGGTTTTTTGCACTGGGGTGGTTAGTCAAACCGTGCCATGGAAAGCCACAATCAGTTGAGCCATGCTGGCTTGCTGTGAGTGTTTTTCCACTGCACCGCACAGAAAAACTAAAGTGGAGTACCTGAACCGCTAATGAAGCTCTGCTAACTGTCTGATAGATACTATATTCCCAAAGACTCCTTCACAATAAAAGCATACCACCAGTTTGCCAGCAGAAAGCTTTCAGTATGGAGCCGCAAATCCTAACAAATTTTGAGTTTACATCAACAGTGTAAACGCAGCTCTGCTACAGATATAAAGTATTAGTTAACAGTACAGTAAGCCTGATGTCTGAATGCACAAATGGACGTATGGGTGCCATTACATAGATTCAACTAGACGTTATGGAAGAACTGAGAAACTAACGCAAAGAAACTTTACTCAGTGGCACAGGTTGGCCACATTTGGTCCTGCAACAGAGAAGGGCTGCATATCACGGAGGCTATAATGGGAACCTAAGCAATTATGATTTGGAATGGCACAGTGCAGTTAGCCCACAACAGGACAGTGGAAAACCCCCATTAGAGACTGCTTTACACAGCAACACACAGACGTACACCTGGCCTGGCTACTCCTCTGCAGCCTTTGTACCTCGAACAGAACCCTTCTTACGCATCTGGATAAAAATAAAATACAGGAAATCACAGAAATAGGGGTTAGGACGCCTGTGGAAGTAGCTGGCACTGACTGGAAATGGTTTTATAAAACAAATACCAAAATTTTTTTTAAAAAAGCTACATTTGTTACTTTCACTTCTTACTTATGAATGTAAGTCCTAAATGCAATGAGCATCATGGAAGCAATATCTGTGCTAAAAAATGTTTAAAGAAAAGCAACCTTAATTGGTAAGCTACTCTTCTGGAAGCGTATGTGTCAGTGGTATTAATTAGGATTTCAAAGTCCGTTCATTTTAACATTCCAAATCCTTCACTTGAATACTTGTTATTGGTGAAATAGGTTTCAAGATCAAGATATAAAAAAAGCCCACAAAAGCAAATGAGAACTATTTTCAGAACAATTATCCACATTTCGCAGTTCTCTAAGTGTTTTCATTAGGAAAAAAAGAAAATACAAAACAAAATACATCTCTTAGGAAATAAAAATAATTATTGGTATTACAAACAATGGGAAAACAAATAGCTGGTGGGTCTCACACATAAACTCCAAACAATTTTAGAATTAAACACATTTTCAGTGGACAGCAAATAATGATTATGCAGAACAATGCAGTGGGTAAAAAAAGAAAAAAGAACATTCATCCTATAAAATGGCCAATGCAAATAAGATGTAAAATTAAATTGTAATAGCTATAATCAAGCTCATAGCTAAATCAAGATAATTTGATATATGAACTGCATATGTGGAAGTAAAAAGGGAACTCAACTGCTAGATGCCAAGCACACCTTGTAAACAAGGCTAAACGGTACCCTGTGGAGTTTCAAAACGAAGATTTTGCACTCAACATGAAGAATGACACAAACAACATTATGATTCTCGCCATGATTTTGACCCTTCAAAACTGTTCACACTGAAGACGCCATGAGAAATGCACTTTGTCTGCATCACTTTATATGACAGATCAAGATGTACATTTCGGCTACAAGCATGTCCAGCAATGACCAACATTTAGCTGCATCCTGCCACCTACTGTACTGGAGTATGTAGAACAGGATCTTGATATTGTGCAATTAGATTCAATGAAGGGTCAAACAGAACTCATGGTCATTTGGTTGCATAGCTTCAGGATGTGCCATGAGGGTGCCAGTGCTGGAATGGTATGCTAACTGTAGCTTAGCTTGCATGCAACTTCATTTTGAGGTTCCACAATGTTGCAGTCTACTAAGCAAAACTGAGTATTTACAAATGTCGCTTCTTAGATTTCTCACAGTGCAAATCAGTCTCTGTGACTCTCCCACCACATTGGGTTATGACCACACAGTTGTTGTTGATTTATTCCTGTCTTCAGCTTGACCTACATTTCATCAATGAAAGCGAAACTGTGTGACTCTTGTCCATCATGCAGTGCATTCACTGCAGCAGCCCAGGCCCACACAAGAACTTGTGAGGCAGACAAATGCAGTAGTGCTTCTTTTTTTGTTAACAATCAAATGTTACAAATCAAACATCTTTTTATTTTACAAATTGATTATACAATCCATTTTACCATATTCCTTCACAGCCATAGTCAATGTTCTATTTCCCAAGGACCATTGAAATTTGAGGCTACTTTCAAAAAGGACACATTTTAGATTCTGACATTATGAGTTATGCAAGTCCAATGGGAACAGCCTCAACGGTTGCAGTAGTATTTAATTTGCCCACGATTATACAGGACAAATGATGCGTACAGTGGGAGCTGGCCTTTACTCATCAAAATGCACTGTGCACTATCCTTGAGATTTTCCTCTTCACTTGCAAAGCCACCCACATGCATGTGCATGAGGTAAACAGTAAGGGGACACACTCTAAGAAAAGCAGCTCGGTGGCACCACTAGCGGTCAAAAACTCCACAGGGAACCTTTAAGCCACTTGATTTACTCCAGCAGTCCTCTTGTTTTATTACAAAAGCATACTGCTAGTCTAGTCAGTTTACCTAATGTCTAGTGAATGGAAGACAACAGCTTCACAAGGATAACACAGGTCTTGGTGTTCATCTGAAGTTTGAGCAGGTGTCAGAAATCTCACACCAGAGACTGTTCAACTCTCAAGTTGGATAAGGTTCTGTGTGCAAAGCCTCTCACTTACAAATATGTACATCATTTGACCAAGGTTTAATTATTTTATGTCTCAGATACTCACTTCGTCCAGCTCTTTCTGGGTTTCTGCCTCCATCCTCCGGATATCATCCATATTCAGCTCCACCCACTTATCAATCCAACAGAAGAGTTGGCGGTGGAAGTTAGTGAAGATCCTCTTCTCTTGCTGTGGGAGACAGTGGCAGTCTTGGTTAGGGGCCGAGCGACGTGTTAAATCAGTTTCACACTAAGAATAAAATTGCATGTGAAGTATTTTGAAAAAGGTATGTACATTGACATTACAATAATGACACTGATGATTAAGTTAAAATGCATCAGTAATCACAGTGATGTTTAATGTATCAGTGTGACCACTGACAAAACTCTACATGCTAAAAACATTAATACCTTACTCTGGAATTTGTAACTGTTAAGCATTTGTAAAACAATACTTCACTATCACCACACATTTGAACGGGGAGTTAAAAACAGTAACACTGAACTACCATCCAGCACCAGTTTCGGTCAATAAGACAGTCAACAGGCCCTGTGTTGCTTCTCCAAACTTGAGCGCTCAGAGCTTGAATACAACGCATGAGCCAAAGTAAACTGGCTGTGTGAGGTTTCACTGTGTAAACATGTCACTCTAACCTCGTGGATGAAGTTCTCCACTTTGGACTGCAGGCCCCACCACTTGAACTTGACTGTGACTAGTTTGTAGGCACACATCCTTGGGCATTCGGGTTTACTAACCAGCTCTTTCTGTTGGGAGAAGAACAGAAAAAGAATGACAAGATTTACAACCCATCACTTCTTAAAGCACAGAATCAGAATAAATAACCCAGCAAAAACTTTCCAATGAGAGAATAATTGTAAAAACAGCAGAAGGCTGAGAGAATATTATTTTAGACTAATCTGGGATGCATTCAAAGCCAAAATTCATTAATACATAATGCTTTGGGTATGGAGCTTGCTGAAATAATTATCAATATGAAGATGTGCTGTGCACAGATAAAAGTGCCCTAATCTACAACACACTTTCTAAATCCATCCGCTGCTTGCACTCTGCCTCGCTCTGAAGAAGAGAAGAAAAGTAGGAGGGGGTTGGGGCACAGCAAAGTGGATAAACTCCAGATGAAGGGACCATTTCTCTGCCTTCGCCCTGACAGCGACACCGTTCCCAACAGGCATGCCTTTGTGGCCACAGAAGGCAGATAAAACGGTGCTCACGAAGCGATAAGGGCGTCGCAGTGCAAAGCCGGTTACATTATTAACACCTAGGACCTGCTCGCCCCCAGAACACACATACTCTCCCTCCGAGAACACCTGTTTAATTAATCACTTCATTCTGGCTCGGCATTCCAAGAGAAAATGCCACAGACCCGCCTCAATCACCCTCATACCACTGCCGTTTGATGCTACGATCATGGAGGAGTGCGAGAGAAGGGAAATGAGAAACATTTCTAAATTTGCAGTGGGTTTAGAAAAGTTGTCATCGCTAAAGGAGAACTTCACATGAAACGGATTCTACATCAAAACACTTACGGTGACATTTCTTCTCTCCCTCTCTGTGCCCCACTCAAAGGAGCAGAAGTTTTCAGAAATACAAAGGGTACCGATATGCAAGCATGTGTGCATGCAGAGATAGACAAGAGTTTTATTGCTCTGAGAAGCTGGCAGAAATTGTGCCTCTGTTGTCACATAACTACTTTTTTTTCACCTTTTCAAAAACAGTCTTTTTCCATGTCCACAGCGGACGGGAAAGTGATCTAATTAAAAACACAAAATAAAAGTTGTGCTTCTTTATTCATACTTTTTAAAGCTGTTTGGCTGCCTTTGTTCTGTGAAAATTCTTGAAGCAGAGGAAAGTTTCCCATGGTGAACTTTGAGGGCTCCACTACAGAATAGAAATTCTCAGTGCTCTAACAGTGAGCAGGACCCGTTTGTGAGGCTGCAGGGTACGGCAGGGTTTAGAGGGAAAAGCAACAAAACTCCTGACAAAGTTTCTCTGTGTGGATGAGCTACTTCTTATTGACTTTTTACCTTTTATCAAAAATACATCAGTCTTTATACAGAAGTGCTGTTTGTCAAATTTAGAATCAATGTCCATAAACAGACTCTTTCGCGTTTCTGGCTTTGTCTTCTGCCACAGGCAAAGTCTGGCAGATGGAGTTCAGAGAGTAGAACCTTTATCTGACTTGATGACTTGAAATTTCTATTTCATTCAATTAGAGCTAAGAAAGAGGTGATTTGTCTTCATCAGATTGCAGCCGTACAGTGCAGTGGACACCACTTGAGCCTTCCTCCAGCTCTGTGCTGTATTATTACTACAGGCAATGTGCTGGTGTGAAAGACTTGGAGTCCATGTGAAAGCCAATCTCTACAAATTGGTCTAAATGAATGAAAAATACACAGCAAATTATGGAATATTAATATTATTAGTGTTCACTCCTTTCATGGTAAATTTTGTACTGATATCTTTATTTCAAGTCTACAGCTTCTTGTTTATGTGAATAGATCTGCATAATCAATGCACATGTGCACACTTTATCTTCACTCCTCTATGAAAAGCTGCAAAAACCAAAGGAGTTCCCTGTATTTTGCTAAATTCATTTAACCTTCTGTCTTCGTAAACCTGCCACAGGAGCATCACCACAGCATGACGTGCCACTATCAAACGTCGCACATAAAGCTCAGTGTTTGGTCTCACACCACAGAGCCATAATCCCGGGTTTGAGTGTGTCCCACATATCTACTGGCAACATCAGCCAAAATGATAGGCGTTGTGTGGCTTCTTGTGTGTTGTGGCTTTCTCCAAAAATTGCTGCATAGTGTCTCGTGTCCCAGCTACTGAACCCTGTAGCTTTTTCAGAGTTGGAAAAACCTCTCTGTGGGGAGGACAGTCTGTCCTAGTCAGATTTACAGATGTTCCATATCCTTTCCATTTTATTATGACCCACCTTGTTTTATTCAGTGTCTTGGAAGCTCTCATTTTAACCGTTAAGTTACACCAGCCAACTTGATCTTTCTCGATAAAAACATTACAGCAACCATCATGTTTCATCATTAAAAACTGCACAGAATTATACAAGGTCGAGGAATTACAGCAGCAAGATCTGTGAAATCCCAGTTGCAGACGCAGGTCTTGTAAATAATGACCAGGCATATACCTGCTTTAAATAACCTCGTATACAGGGTCAAATGTGGGCTCATTTTTTGCTCAGCCTCCTGTGACATTAACTGCCATTTGTGTGTGAATGTGATACATCGAGAGTAATTTCCAAGGCTCAAAAGAGCATTACCTTCCAGGAGGGCCCAAGAGGTCCTCTGCCGGTCTTAACGGATTTGAATATGGCGGGATCCTCATCTGGTTTGTAGTCCTACAATGAGAAATTAAAAAAATAAATAAATGCATAAATATTTTTAAAAAGTACAGTATATACAGCACACCATATTTAGCTAAAACAAACTGTTACATAAGTTGTTGTAAACACACTGTATAACGCACAATTTGTTTAATTTGATAAGAGTTTAATTACTGGGAAAGATTTATCCAATTAAAAAAAAAAAAAAGAAAAGTAACAGAAGCATGGTAAGAGACAGACATGAATTCTATAGTTTTCTGAACAAGAGAAAAGTACATTTCAATGTGGCCTGCTGATCCTACACTACAACTCAGTCATGGCCACAGAAAGGCCCAAGAGTGCTGCACGAACTCTCCAAACCACCAAAGAAAATGTAAGGACCAAATCTCAACTCAGTTCACAAATGGCTCAGAGACAAACCATCTTTGGGGCACTGATGCCACCAGCAACATCTGTATAATGTGAATGAAACTGGTGTCAATGTCATTTGCTTGTTTGTGCTTGCTGCACATGAAGCATTTGTACACTTCGACAGTCCCAACTACAACAACACTCCTTACCCTATATATGCACTTCATATATTTATGTCCTTCTGACCCTGTTTTAGTGAAGCAACCACTTAGGCCCCATTATACAGGAGGATCTTGGTGCTATGGTAAAAACATTTTCAATGTGTATAGAAAAATAGAAGGACAACAAGCACACATGCAAGCATGAGCACATGACGAAAATGACAAAGTTGACTTCATAAAACAGGCAAGAGAAATAGTAATACAAATAAATGAAATGGCTTTCAAATTATCAACAGCTCAAGGGCCCAGCAATTTTAAATAAATCATGATGCGCCTGCAGCTAAAAGCTACTTTTTCAGGGCTACTGGCCAACAGGAGGGTGCCAAACGTGTGGAAAGAAATGGAAACGCACCCCTACACACACACACACACACACACACACACACAATAATTTGGCTGTTTTAATGCTGAGAGCTCCATCACTATAACAATACGCTGTGCTGCACTAATGAGGTCTGTGAATCGATGTGCCGTGGTACACGAAAAGGAGCTACTCCTCAAGTAAAAGAGTGTGTGTTAGAGCGCAAGTGTGTTTATGTCGTGTGTGTATTTGTCTAGTTCCGGCACACGCAGCACTGTGAGCCTTAATTACACTAACAAACTCATCTGTGCTGGCGGTACGCCCCAGGCCCTGCAGTCATGCCTGAGGCTGAGGGCTGATAGGGCCCTCAGACACAACACACTCCTACAGCAAGGCAAACACGTCTGCCTCGTTAACTACCCACCGCAAACAAACATGTACACACACAGAAACCAATGCTTCTCGGCAAAATAGCCACACATATGCCTGCACGCACTTAGAGAGCAACACTGAAATGAGGCAATGTGATGTCAAATAACAGCAATAATGTACAACATCTTCAAAAAAGATTTCAAAGTTTTCAAATGGAGTATTGGAAACTGAAATTTATATTTTTGAAAATATTATTGACATATTCTTATTTATCTTTGGACGCTCAAAAATGTCATGTGTAATTTTTTAAATACAAAGACTTCAAGTTAGGTATAGTTGTTAATCACAGACCAAACATTAGATAACAACATCTAGCTGAAACTATTGGTCAGTTACTCAATTAACTGACTGTCATTTTTCAAGCAGAATTTCCCAAATTCATTTTTTTTAATGTCTTACATCAAAGTAAACTGACTATCTTTGTGTTTTTTTTAAACTGTTTGTAAAACAAAACAAGACACTTTTTCACTGTTTGATACTTTACAGCCCGGACAAATAATCGATTAAACAATTATGTTCATATTAGTGTATATGCAGATAATGTGTTTCGTAGCATTTCATTTTCTGGTGAGGCAGACAGTTCAGTAAAATTTCCAACGTTGGATCTACTATTTCTATTAAAACAGCTCCACGAAATACAACAGGCATCTAGATTTATTTCAGCATTGTTTAAAGCATGAGTTCAAAAGCTGGATTCATAAAAGAAATAAATTATTCTGCCACGAATGAGCAAGATAATTTTTCTTTAGACAATTAATGAGTCGATCAACAGTATATTAATCAACACTTTAAATACTGCCGACTTGAAGTTATTTGTCAAATAAAAATGTCAAACATTTCTAGTTTCCAGCAGGATTTATATATATATATTTGAAATCAAAATGAATAAAGTCTCTGTGAACTTTTTTTTTTAATGTTGGTCTGAAAAAATAAATTAGTAGCTGAAGGATGTTGCCTTAGGCTGCTAATCTGTGATGGGCTACTGTCTTTATTTTCAGACAAACAAAAATAACTGATCAACACAAACACGACTGAATAATGATCACTTGAATACATACAATTTCCAATGTAACAATATTTCCTGATTATTCTGCTCTTATTTACTTCACTTCACTTCTCACTTCTGAAATTACTTTGAAAAAGAACAGAAGCTCAGAAGTCAATGAATTGATATTATTACTGCTTGTCATAAATAAAATCTATCAAATCCACCTTTACATCCTTTAAAGTGGATTGAGACAGACAAATAGCTCGGTAATGACAATGCTTGTCCACATGAAGGCGCCAAACTTTACTTTTTATCCTGCAACAGCAAATGTGTCTAAAGAGTTTCCACTCACAGCATTGGACACATAACTTCTGTCTGCAATGTCAATGGGCACAACAGATACACTCTTCCATGTGGATTCGTCTAGTTTGTGCACCTGAACAAACAAAAAAAACAAACATTTGTAACAAGAGCAAATACACTAAAATTCATGATTAATATTTAGTATTTGCCTGATTTGATGTACTCACATTTTCTTGTGTTCCAAGGTCTGGTTTGTGCCATGTCTCAATTTTAATAAAGAAACTGTCTTTCATATATTCATTCTAGAATACAGAAACATCAGGAAACTTGTTGTATGAAACAAGCAGCAAACTCACACTTAGGAATATTTATACTGTGAGAAGTTATATAAAATAAAATCTATTTAAGGCTACCTACCGTCACAACTTGATCAAAGTGAGGCATGAGAAGAAAAGGGGAAGAAAGAAAAAAACATATATAAATATCTAGGACAACAACGCCACATCGTGCCACGTGCAAATAACTCAAGTCCATTTAGTCAGGGAGAGGAAAGGGTTTCAGGGTAAAGCAAAGGTAAGCGATATGGGCAGAGGGACTCACTGGTTCTGCAGTAGGGGTAGGCATTCCAAGCTTTTTCATGGAATATCAGGGAGCCTTCAGGGGCAAAGAGCTTGACAAACCCTGGGACTTTACTGTAGGGTGAGGGAAGATAAGAACAGGTTGATGTGGGCTAAGGGATAAGGGAAACAAATCGTTTCAGTTATCAGTGGTTCTAGAGGAAAGATGTGCATGAAGGAAAACATACACTTGAAATGCTTCACACATGAGACAACACTGCCACTGGCTGGTAGTACTGCGCTATTACACGATGAGGAAAAACATCATGGAAGCTAATAGTCAGATTTTTTTTAAAAATGAAGAAAAACACTCTTACCTCTTTAGGTGGTAGATTTTGTGCGTATACTGTCCTTTCTCTCCATCTTTTTCATAGGGTTCGTTTTTGAGAACCTCGATGCCCTCACCACCACCCGTCTCATTTTTACTTGCTTCAGCCACAGAAAACAGTTGCCCAACTTGATACTGTAACACACACAAAAAAAAACACAACCTTAACACAGGCACACAAAGCATCTGATGGACTCCAGCAAATTTAAGTATTTTATTTTGAAAATTTGCACGTCAAGTTTTACTTCCCAGAAGTTGACTCGTGAGCACTTAAAGTGAAGCAATGTTTACCTAATTACAGTCTATAGGCTAATTGTACACACAATCTGGAGCTTTGCTTAACTAAACCTACAACTTCACTATTTTCATTGTTAATTCATCTGTCAAGTATTAGTTATTTGGTCTATAAATCCTCAGAAAATAACTAGGGGGGAAAAAAGGGGGCAATCACTGTTTCCCAAAGCCCAGATGACGTCCTCAAATGTCTTGTATGGTCAATAGCCCAAAGATATTCACTTTGCTGTCATAGAGGAGGAATGAAACCAAAAAGTTTTCAAATTTAAAAAGTTGAGATGTGATTATTTAGACTTTTTTTCCCCTCTTAAAATGTTAAATGCCAGCTAGTTTAGTAATGGATCCATTTTTTTCTTTAAAATAGCTGCCATTTAACTTCATAGTTGACTTCTAATCAATAATTTGATTAATTGTTCGGCTCTGTTTCTAACCAAACAGGAAGGTTTTCTTTCGATTGTTCCTTTTCAAGTTGTCCAACACTGCCCAAGAGAAAATTCCCAAAAAGTCAAACAAAGTAAATGACAATGTGTCCGACATGTTTTTTTTTTCCTTCTTATACTTCATCTCGTGCCTCCGCCCCGCCCACTTCAGTATTTACTTTAAGTGTAACCCACAATCTTAAAGCCAAATTAACTACCATCTCATGTTATGATGATTGAGCAGAAGACAGTCCAACAGAAGTGTGGCTGCTGACTTTTGCCAGAGCTTTTCTTTATTGTTGCTCCCCCAAAGAAAGGACTTTTTTTCATTATGTAGAATTGTAAAATACGGCACTAATTGCCAACAGATTTTTATCCCCGTACAAGGCAGCAGGCTGAGTCTGGGATTCATGACATAGACCTCTATAAACACAGGGAAAAACTGACTGCTAACACAGCCACAAGTAAAACATATGATGGGCTTTTTCTGGACACGAGTGTTTTGTAGAAAACAAAACAATATTTTTTCATTCTTTTCAAGGAGAAAGAATGGCACATTACAGAGGCTTGTTGCAATGCCTGTAAACCATTTTCAGGTGTCACTTCTTTTAGCCTAAATAAGGGTTTGGCTGCATGTTGGACTAAAGCCACAACAGACATATAAGACAGAATTAAGATGAGCTTGTTTATGAGTTTATGGTGACATTTCTAATCATACTACTAATAAGAACAACAAAAAACCAACACCTGGAATAAATAAAAAATACACTCACCTCCTCAACAGAACAGGGTAAAACCACACGGCTGCAAAACAAAAGGAAAGTGCAATCAGATTTGCAGAACGTTTGTTTCTTTAAAAAAAATCAACAATTCAATATTGCTGCCGCATTTTGGCATCTTTACTGTCATCATACATGGGGCATGACGGAAATATAAGTAGCTGTCTCTGGATGGTGCATTGAACAAGCTAAATTAACAATCATAAATAATAAAATCAAATGTACATATAAAACAAGACTATATAAAGAACCCCAACATAAGCAAAAGAGCCAAGATATATATGACAGACTTACAAAAAAACCACACGCATATAGTGTAACATTACAACAAGTAAAACCTTTGGCTCTAAAAACATTTATTTATTTTTATTTACTTCTTAAAAGTAAAACCTGTATTGTTTTAGACAGAATTTAGCTTAATTTAAGCGGACCACATAAGGTACCATAGTCGGTACACACAGTAGATGGCAGCCTTTATGCCCAAAGTTTTTCAAAAGTTTACATGAGGACCAGCACAAAAGCTAAGCAATCAGACTTCAGAACATCGGAGTTGGTGGTCCACAGTCGCCTTGATTGGTTTGCTAGCTCGTTTGTTTGGTGTTTTAAAAAACCAAAGTTACAAAACAACACAAACAAAGTAACCAATCAAGGCAGTGGTAGAGCAACAACTCCTGTGTTCTGAAAGATTAAAGGACTGTACGTGTCAAAAGAGTCTTGTGGCTTTGAAGGGTGTGATGTAATTGTTTCAGTTTCTCGGCAGAAAGGGCTGCCTGACAGCGATGCAAAACAGTAAAAATATTCAAATTACACATATACATTTGCACACAAGCTTCCCAGTCTTTGCTTTACCACATTTTCTGCATTGATAAAGACTATAATGTGCCAATTGTATGTCACTCTACACAGTATGCAACAAACATGACCCAATGCAGAGGAAGCAGTAAGGCTACAGCCCACATGTGCTCATGAACACAAGACCGAAAAACACCCCCACAATGCAAAAAATCCTCTAACTATCACGAACAGGAAGCCAGCTGAGTCACTGTTGCTGAAGAGAAAAAAAAAATCTACTATTGCCCAGTTTGACACACTGCTGACTTCAACAAAATCTGAACAACCCATCGCTAGACATGAGTGGAAAAGTTAGACCTCTGAATGCATCCAAGGACTGGACATGACCGTAAGGCAAGTTAAAGACCTGTCTGAAAAAAAGCAACAAAGAAGATGTAAGTGGGGCATTTGGGGCCAAAAAAAAAAAAAAAAGATAAATGGGTTTCACAGACCAGTGTCAGACAGTGTTGCTGTTTCAACAAGAAAAGAAAAAAAATAATCAGAATTATTATTACATAATATATCTAAAAGTTACAGACAGTCTTTACTCAAAGCACACATCAGAAGTTTCTCTTGATGTGGCAAATAAGTTCTACGGCAGGGTGTGACAGGTTGTGCTCAAAGCCATTGCATAATTTACCCTGATGAGAAAGAAGTTTCCCTTACTAACCACTAACCACCCAGTGCAAGAGAAAAAAAAACTAGGAAGAAGAAGTTCTATGTATAAATCATAAGAAGGCTGTATTCTACAAACACTTGATGCAGCATTTTCTTTTTTGAGTGGCCTTTTTTCTTTCAATGCACTCTTGCATATCACAGAGTAGTAACAAACAATGAGAACAACAGTTTGAGTTTCATCTAGAATTAACACTACTCCATCAACCTGTATGAAAATAAAGCTAGACTTCCAAAAGCCAACAAGGAGAGATGTTTTATATCTCCGGGCTGTCACAAGACCACTGACAACTCCAGAGCAAGGCCTTGCGATGAGTGATGCTGACATCATGACACAATCAGTGGTACAGTGCACATCAGGAGGCTCCTCAAACTTGGAAAAAATAAAAATAAAAGGCCTGGAAAAGAGTATGGCGAGTAAATCTGGAGCAATGCTGGAGCAGTACAGGAACACAGATGTGGATAAACTATCTACCTTCACAAAGTAAAATCCGTGCGTGACCTTGTGCATTGGAGCAGGTTATGATAAATGCAGAATGTTCTGTGTTTTGTCAGAGTTTCTGAATTTCTGTGGGATGCAAAAGTAAACTAAGAATCGTCTGCCATCAGTCCAGTAGCTCAATAAACAATGTTAAAGCCAAATTTATGGACATAAGAAATACCAAACAGCGATATTAAACAATCACTTCAAGTGGATGCAATGTGCACAAACACAAGGATTTGTTAGGTCATATGTTTTATTTGCTAAATAAAGTCTACTGTTATGTACCTACAAGCTGCAAAGAGTTTCATTTAATAACAGAAGTCCTGCTTTGATCCGCTTTCCTTTACTGATTGAGTGCTATAGTAGGACCACATTTGACAAGTGTTTTCAAAAGCCAACTGTACAGCTAACATTAGCTAAACGCTTCTCTGTGCAGAGTTATGACTGGTTTCCTGATGTGGTTTGCTCTAATTGATGATGGCTTTAAAATAAACATCTTTTGAGCCAACTTCATGACTCAGACAGCTAACGGCTAACTAGAGTCATATTAATAGTGCAACCAGAGGAAAGCTGGTTGATGAAACAGCTTAGTTTTTTACACGAGAGAGCAAACAGCCAAGTCTCCTGTTAATCACAGTGTCTTCTCTTGGCTAAGATTAGCTGGAGCCGCCACGAGCTTATGTGTCAACACCGCTAAGATAACAGTAACTCGGCGGCGCTAGGTGACTTCCCATTCAGGTTACAGTTAGGTTAGCTCACTTAGCGTTAGCAAGCCGTGTGTACAGTCAAGGCTTGCAGGCACTTAAAGCACATTAAAACACAGAGCGAACCCCCCCAGCCTGGAGTGTTAAGAAGCCAGCAACTTAGCGTGAACATATGAGAAACCGTAGGAAGCCAACAGCTGCTACACAATGCCGTCCTGCTGTCAAAGCCGGTAGGCCAGAGGGGCTCTTCGGCAATCCCACCCTTCCCTCGTGTGCCGACACGGACACCGAGGCAAGACGAAAAGTTTTCACTGATGTGCCGGCGGTTAAAAAACTGCTCTGCTTTACCGGAACCTGTTGTTAAACAATACAGTGGTCTCAAATGATCAGAAAAGGACAGTTTGGATAAGAAACTGCGCACTTACTACTCCTTGATGAGAACCATCGTAACTCCTCGCTTTTGGTGCTGCTGGTACTGCCCAGCGACCGCCGACTGCTGCTGACGTCATAGGCTCCTAAGAGTGGCGCCTGGACCCTCCCTCCTGTGCGCTGATTGGCCAAAGAACGGATAGGCGGAACCTTCTTAATTACAACAAGCAAATAGAATCTCTTTCTGCTGGCGTTAGTCCCGCCCATTGCAAGTCTGGTCTGATTAAGCAGCAGCATCATTTCAGATATATTTGCAAGGCAATTAAAAAAAAAAGATAGCATATGATAAATGTGAGCATGCAGCTTATAAGCTATCTATCCATTAGGGCTGCAAGTAATCTTTTTTTTAATTGTTGTCATTCTTCAATTGTTTTCCAGGTTATTCAATTAGTTGTTTGGTCTAAGAAATGTCAGAAAATAGTAAAAAATGACGTCTTGTTTTGCCCCATCTATCTATCTATCTATCTATCTATCTATCTATCTATCTATCTATCTATCTATCTATCTATCTATCTATCTGAGCTTCAACTGATGATTATTTTCATTATCGATTTGTCTGTCAATTATTTTCTTAATTGATCAGTTGATTGTTCAGTTCAAAAAAATGTCAGAAAATGGTAACAAATCTTGGTCCGTTTCCCCCAACAACATACAACTCAAAGATATTTACTGTACTGTCACAGAGGATGAAAGAAACCAGAAAACATTCAATTTTAAGAAGCTGGAATCACAGAATTTTGACATTTTTTTTTTCCTTCTTGAAATTACTCAAACCTATCAATATATTTCAGAAATAACTGGCATATCTACAGATTCCTGTCTATCTATTGTGCCATACATCAGAATAATGTAAAGTCAAGAATACAAGAAAGCAAACATGATGTTTTTATTGAAACAGTTTACTGATAAATGACAGATGGTTGTCATGAAACTTTCATGTTTAATCTCAAAAAATCATGGGCTAAAAAGTCATACATGGTACTTAACATTGAATAGCAAGAGAATCCATGCTTCAGAGCAGACACTCAATTCACAAAGAAATCAGGCAAAATGCCCTTTTGATTTCAATAAAAAATATTAAATCTTTTTTTCCACTCTATCCATCTTTACATGGTACAGGTTTGTTCACTTTTTAATTATATAAAAACGCTTAATACTGATTGTGAAACACTGGAATTAATTTACAAAACATAATAATAATTATTATAATATTAATAACAATAACAAACAATAATAACAATAACCATTAAATTTAAAAACAAAAATAAAATGAAGGAAATCAGTCATAGCTGTTGCATCTTGGCCCACACAAACAGCAAAGTTTTGGGGGAAAAGAAAATACCAAATGGCATTTACATCTACCTGACACACAGTTACACACAAACACAGTATCAGGTCGTTGAGTATTTCTCATTGCCATTTACAGTGTTATGGGCACAAAGACAAGACACTCTCTAAAGCATTCATGTGCCTCTGCAGGATCACACTCACTAACCCAAGAAATCCTTCTCAATTCGTCAGTCAAGTTTGGTGGACCAATAATGATCCTCAAAAAGTGCCCTTCTCCTCCAGCACACAGGATAGTAAATGATAGATAAAAGTATAGAACCGTTTTACATGTCTCAGCATTTAGAAGAAGGGAAAAATCTTCCAGGCGACAGGAACTTGTATCCATTGCCAGCAGGTAGTCGGATAGAACGAGCACCAGGGCTACTGCTTGTGGAAATAGTAGGTGATGGGGCCACTTTTCTGGGGTTGGAGCAGTGGTGTCCATTGGAAGAGTTCTTGCTACCCCTATCTAGTGACTGCAGCCCCAGCTCCCGCAGCTCCAGGCTGTCTTGGGTATCGTTAGGGGAGCAGTGGCGTGGGGAGAGGTTCAGAAGGCTCAGTACATCTCTACTGGCAGACGCAAGAGGTCCAGGATTGCCATGGACAGCTTTGACGGGACCTAGATGTTGCTGCTGCTGGGCTGCCGCATTAGCCCAGAAGGTCTTCAGATTGTGGATAGCCTGGACTTTTTCATCAATGACCCCTCTTCTTAGTCGGTCCAAGTCTGGCACATCAGTCGACGTAGAGCAGGCAGAGCCTGTGGAGGAGTAGGACAGAGCAGGAGACGGAGCACTTCCAGCCGGTGACTGGTGACCAGAACTGGGGGACACATTACTCGGGGAACGAGAGATGTGGCCACTGTATGGGGAGCTTGGGTATTTTAGTTTAAACTGTGCATGGCTGTCGAGAGTAGGTGAGGGGTGGCTGCCCTCCTTTTGGGAAGACTCAGAGACTGCAGGACTATTGTAGCCTGAGCTAATCTTCTGCAGCGAAGAGGAACGTGAGGGAGGTTTCGGTCTCGGGGAAGACTGAGCTCGGCCACTAGCACTGCTGTTAGGACGGCTGAATGCACTAGTTTCAGAAGAGCGGAATGTGCTACTCCTAGCTGAGGTTGCTCCAGCTGTCCCACCCTCTGCACCGGCCCGCTGAAGACTACCCACAGCGCATAAATGGCTGTGAGTCTCCTCCAGAATCTTCTGGGCCAGCTCCTGAGGATCCAGAGAGACAGCTTTTTCTTCCTGAGACTTGACAGTACTGTCTGTCTCGGTACTGGACTGATCAGATTCTCCTGTATCTGAGCTGCTCACTTTACCCACCTTCTGGAATGGTGAGTTTGGGCTGGGCACCAGGCATGTTTTGACAGGGGACGTAGGGGTGCTGACACTGCCCCTTGATGATACTGAAACGGTGTAGCCTCTGCCTGCTCCTGCGCTGGATCCACCAACAACCCCCCTACCCCCACGGTGGTGGCGTTGGCCGTGGCCTGGTGGCAAAGGCAGAGAGTCACAGTGACTTCCCAGTGGCTCGCTGCTAATAATGGAAAAGCCCTCATATTCCTCCTCGTCCTCCCGGGATCTCGTCACTGCAGCAGCCGCCCCGTGAGGAGAGGAGCGACTACGAGGAACATGAGAGTGTTTGTGGACAGAGTAGTGTGCCGTGGCCCCAATGCGTTGCCGATGCCCAAGGAAATCACATTCTGACTTGGAAGCAAAGCTCATGGATGAGGCTACAGAGCTGAGGCTATAGACAGAGATGGCATCTGAAGCTTGATTGTCCAGGCAAGGTGGAGAGAAGGGAAGGCTCGAGTATCCCATGGGCAGGGGGTTAGACACAGACTGGGCTGAAGCTAGAGACTCGAGGGAAGATGAGCTGTCCAGGCTCAGGCGCTTGGGCAGTTCTGTGGAGTCTAAATATAAGAGAAGATGGTAAAAGGAATAATATGACACATTATCAACAGTGAAAGCCCTGGAGATATTAGGAAAAACTGAAAATAAACAACAAGCATGAGGAAATTATTATACTTACCAAATAGCGCCAGCAGAGACTGGAGAGCAAAGTGCAAGGTGCGGCGGTTGGCTAGCTTGCCTGTCTTCAGCACCACTTCTTCTTGGCCTACCTCACATAAGTCAAATCCTGCATACACACACACACAAAAGGACAAACACTGTATCTGTGAGTCTAAAGGGACACATCAATGCATGGTGGGTGGAAAGCAAGAGGGGACAGGAATCTGTTTTCTTATGTAACTATTGACTCACCAAGAGCAGCCAGAAACTCATGGCATCCTGGCAGTCTCCATAGCTGCACACTAATGGACACCTGAATTGGCAGGAGGGAGAAATCCTGTTCTTTCTCTCCTGTCTGGAGTTGGACTAGCACCTGGTGGAGCTGGAGAAGAAAATAGACAAGAATACAATAAAATGAGCACTTCTGTGTGAGATGTGATTAATGATTAAAACAAATACGTGTGATCAAACCATTTATATTCTATGAAAATCAGTGCAAAGTTACTCAGTTCCTTTCTCTTAATGATTTTGCATTCATTTATTTGACGTCTTTAACATACAACCACATCTTAAGGGAGGGAACGCTGTCAAATTCTTGCCTGTAGTTTGTATCAGTTTATTTTTCCTAACATGTTTGAGTCCTGTGCATGAGCTATCTGGCAATGAAACATCTGCAGGGAACCAGAATGGAACCAGCTTGAGCTGTGTGGGGGTTTACACGTGGCCTGGAAGCACACTTGCCTGTTTTGTTTCAGGATTACTTGGCTAGGAACAGAGACACCTTTGTAAACTTGACGTAACTGTGCAGAAGGTAGAAACGTGTCTCTTCTGACTCTACTATTGTGAGAGGGCTGTTTTCACATCATAGTTTTATCCCTGCTACCGCCCTGAAACATTCCTCGGACCGGTTATAAACAAGGGTTGTAAATCCTTAAATACTCAAAATCCCTAAGATCTGGCTGCAGGAACTCGCAATGGAAAAATTATGAACAACGCAACACGGTAAATGTCAGCTACACTGGCACACAAAAAGCATTAGAACAGCAAAACTGATGATTAAAATGTCATGCAGCTTCTACTCTAGAAGACGGCGTTTGAGAAAGTTTAGTAAGACAGAAAATGGGGAGTGGGGGAACAGGGAAGAATGGGATGGAATGCAGGTAGGTGAAAGCAAACTTACCATTGCCACCATATTTTTAACAGCCTTCAGACCACACATTAGGGGCAGAGGAGAGAAAATAAGCTGTTAATTGCATGCACACAGGCCATTCACAAAGGACACAGAGTTCAGGTCAATAGGAAGGATAACAACAACAAGTAACAGTAGTGTTTAACACATTAAAGAGTTTAATGCAGTCAGCATACGTAGATTAGGTTGAGCATGTTTCATGTTCTGTGCATTGAAGCGTATATTTGCAACGTGAGAAAACAAAAGCTGCCAATCACAAAGTTACTGATGGGCTTTCACTTTAAGCATGTGACAGCCACATGTTACACACAAACAGGGATAAACCTCTGCAGCGGAAGATTAATCCTCTGGTGTCACAAGCTCGGGTACAAGAGAACAGGACTAAGATTGTGGCTCAGACTTTGTACTTGAAGCACTACTAGTTGGGCTTCAGTGCAGCATTTCAGTGCAGATTAATCTGTAGCTTGAGTTGCCAGTGCATTAGCGTGTCTCCATTTCTGACGTAACCAAGTTATAAAATGATATATCCCTCATATTCTCTTCCAGCAGGACCCTTATGCCAGAAAAGGCTTGCAAACATTTCAGCTAATGTAAGACGGAATGCCTCAATAGTTCCCAACATTAAATAATAGCAACGGTATTTGTCGTTTAAGCCAAAGACCAATTTCTATCTGGTGCATTAGATTTAAAAATCCAGCAGCATTTGTTCAGAGCTGCAGGGGCCTACCCGGTTGATGAGCTGCTCTCCTGCCTCTGAAGCTGTGATGAGTTTGCACAAAGCCTGGAGAGCTGGTGGTGGCAGACCTAAGGGATGGGATCAAAGGAACTTCTTCATTATTCATACACAAGGCACGTTCTTTATACCCCAAGCGAAATAGCACTAAACAGGTGATATATGGAGTGATATGAAATGGCACAAACGCACAGGACAGAAGTTTTAGGCACTTTAGATGTAAAATTTCTTTGTATAAAATCAAATCAAATCCAAAATTCATCCATTAGCTTGAAACTGACCGCACACATTCAGCTAAAGTCATAGAGAACTATCTTTCGTGACCAAAAGAACAAGGAACACTATGTCCCACTGTATGGCCCCCACATTGCTTTGATCTCAACATCATGGAGTCTGTCTGGGATTACATGAAAAGACAGAAGAAAACTAAGACAGCCTGAATCATAGAAGAACTGCTCCAAACTCTCCAAGATGCCTGGAAAAAACACACCTGTCAAACACCTTGAAAAATGTAGCTACCCAAGTGCATCCGGAGACCTGGTACTGTTTTAGATGCAAAGGGGAGGGTCACTGAACTGCATTAAGCTAACAGATGAATTAAACTCACTGGCATTATATTTTAAAGCCCCTTAATTGTAATTTTAGTGCCTAAAACATTTTCTTGTAGGGAAAAATACAGGCGACACTGAACAGATTGTGAATTATTCTGATTAAAATGTGATCAGATGTGTATAGTTTATCTCAGGTGCATACCCAGTAGTGACTGTAAAGTAGTGCTGCACTGTTGGAGTCTGTCTCCTGGGTCAGCGGTGGGAAAGAAGACAGCCGCAGGGATACCGGTGCCTGCAGAGTCAAGACGGAAGCCCACAGCTGTTAGCAGGGCCTGCCAACCTGGGACACCCCCCACTTTGTTCTCCACACTCTGCTGGGATGTATACATGGAGTTGCGTTGGCCATTCTGTATCCTCTGAAGAGACTTCTCCACCTGCAAGAAGCACGGCAATGCCAAATCAGTATTTTTGTGTATCTTTGCTTGTCGCATTTTGCATAGTAAGTCCTTGCGCGTGTGTGCAGATGTCTCACCAGGTGGAGTAAAACTCTCAGAGCATCACGAGCTCGATCTGGATACTGCAGAATCTCAGCCAAAGCTTGACCGATCAGGGAAGACGGGCTGTTAAGCTTCACATCATTGCCAATCAGCATGTATCCTGGAAAGAAAAAATGCAATAAAAAGAGCTCCATTACAAGATCATCTTTTTTAATGTGCTGATGTAAAATTAACGTGTAAATGAATGGCATCTCTAACCCGCCCAGTTGGAGGGGTGTGAGTACTGCTTGCTGCTCTGGACAGTCTTCATGGCATCTGCCAGTGCTGCACTGGCCTTGGTCCCATTCAGCAGGGCAGAGTAGAAGGCATGGACGAAAACCTTGGAGGCAGCAACAGGGACGGGCCACAAGGACACGAGAACACACTGAGCCCCAGCAGCCAGGAAGGCTCTGGTCAATCCCACGACACCATCTGCTGTGACCTTGCTGCTGGACTCCTGGTACGACCTGACGCCGCAATAGCACATAAGACGCATGCACAACTGAATTTAAAAAGCTTAACAATTAAAGCGTTTTCTTTTAGTATCTCTCTATCGAATGCTATTCTGTTCTCATCAGTTAAACTACAATATTTAAGACTTACATTTGATAAAACAGCCAACTTACTGCCTCAAAACTCTGAATTACAGAATAAACTATTGGAACTAAACTCAAAACAGAGATCACGATTTGAATTTCTCCTTAGATCTAGTCCACGTACCCCAGAACCACCAGCTTGACAGGCAATCGCAGGTCCAATATATCTGCAGCTGTAAGCAGGAACTCCTGAAGTGGTGGACTGTCACAGATGCTCTCCACGTCACTGCTGTCATCCTGCATGTGAAGAGACTCTGGGATGGTGTAGCCGCTTCCAATGGAGCCCTTCCTGCCTCGGCCACTGCTGCCTCTCCTCCCGCCCGCACCTCTGCCCACTGTTCCCACTCCCACGCTGCCACTCGCCCCCCCAGGTACACCCTCTGGGTTTGGGGTGAGCACCAGAGCTGCCAATTTCCAGGAAATGTGGGTGGCAAAGTGGGCGCACTCGGCTTGCGTGAGAGCACTCATCACCCTCTCCTTGGTGGCAGAACAGCCGGCCAGCGGTTGGCAACCCAGCAGCTCAGCAACCATTAGAGCCTCCTCCTCTGCTGAAGGCATGGGCCCCCACAGCCAGCGGTCCATTACTGGAGAGGGCAGTCGAGGGTTCCCCACCACTGCTGCCATTGAGACGCCACCACACGGAGCTGGTCCAGGACGACGAGAGTGAGCCTAAAAGCAGAGCAACAAAGTTTACATTGCAGCAAGGTTCAGTAATTCATTAAAGACAAGATCTTAAAAAAGCATCTGTGACATAATCTGCGAGCATAAAATCCCTTATTAGTTTTTACAGGAGTTTCAGTTTGAAAGAATAAGAAGTTAAACCTTTATACTGGATCCAAGGCCATGGATGGAGGGCACAGCGATGAGGCTGAAGCGCTCATACAGGTATTCATTAGAAGAGCTTCCTTTGAGCAGGGCAAAGGGGATGAGGTACAGCTCTCCCTCCAGCACCATCACCAGCTGTCTGTGTCTGCCAACAGGCCCGCTGGAGTGCATCAGGCCCTGTCACACAAAAGGATTAGCATGAAAATACACAAATATAAATTAAAATTCAATATGCAGTGCTTTTCTTTTCTATTCCTCCCAAATGCATTTTGTCTTATCTTCTTCTTTCTTGCAAAGAATTACATCAATAAGCAGGCAATGGCGCACAGAGCTAGTACTCACTCCCTCCATAGGTGCGATGAGCAAATCATAAAGTGCCCGGAGTGGAGGTTTTCCAAGGTTGCTGGAGCGACGAGGCAGGGAAGAGTTACCATCTTTGGCAGGAGACATTGTGTTGCTGAAGAGGCTGGTCATACTCTGGCAACTCCTGCAAAAACACAAGTACAGCGTTTTTTTTTGTTTAAAAAAAAATAACATTTTGTACATCATACTTTAATGCAGCAGTGTTAGACAGTTTACCACATCATGCACTTACTTACAGTAAGCTCCTATATTATATGCACACAACTCTTTCTGTTTTCCTATAGTTAAAAGATGCTCTTTCAAGATTTTGTAATCGTTTCCACAGGAAATTGAGAATACTAAGCTTCTCAACAGGGATCTTATGTGTCGAATTGTGAGCTTTACAGATGTGTAGGGAGTGTGGCTTGCTACATAGTGTTGCATCAGATATGGCTGTAATGTGGCAGTACAAAGCTGCTGCAGAAGAGAGTCATCCAATATTCCTATTCATGGAGGCGCTTCTTTCTTTTTTCTGTGATGCTTGCTTTCAGATCTAAGTTAAACCAAGTTAGAGGCAGATGAAAAAAAGGCCATACTGAGAAATCCAGCACGGCCTTTCTTCATCTGCATGTGATATGTCCTAATCCCTCTGTGAACACACGTATATTCACACAGTACAATTCCACTGAGAATATTATGTTAATACTAGCTGCTCCACTAGATGGCAGTATTGCACTGCTCTCTGGAGCTTAGAGACCCACAAATGGCACCCAGGTTGGCAGAATCACCGCAGGAGAAGGAGAGCATGGACCTTACATATAATTAAATCTCTGAGCTTCCAGTTGGTGGAGGATAAGTCTGTGAATGTCTTCAATGCACTGCCAACGACTGTATAGTTTTTAGTGTGTGAAACAAACAATAATAAGGTAGGTGACAGTCCACTGTCTTTTGAGGGATGTCTGCAGTGTGATGGGAGTGACAGCTCTCTGCTCAGGCAGGAACACCCTGCATACTGACAACTGTGCTAATAGTGGCCATGGGGTTAGAAGCCCTTTTACTTGGCCCTATAGGCCCCAGCTTTATGGCCATACTTGTCACTACTCTCCATCTGTTCCACCAGTCAGAGTTTCTTCCGGACTCCAGCCAACAGACATCTATCCTGCCCCTCTGGTAGCCCCAGGCCACTGGCTCCCCTCCAGCCTCCCAACACTCTGTCTCCCTCCCAGGCCTTGGCATGAGCCTCCATGGGAAAGCAAAACAATCGTTTGTTAGCCTGACGGGAAGAATGAGTGAGGAGGCACGAGATAAGCCAAGAGAAGGTGAGTGTCAAGTGTAGGGGGGGAAACGGTGAAAAGAAAAGACCGAGTGCAGTGAGGCTGAAGGTGAATATTGCATTCAGTGGCTGCCTGTTTGGTCTACAGTTGAAAGACAAGTCCTTAAGTGTGTTCTGAGTGGTAAACAAAGGTAAACAAGTCAACCTCTGTTACACGCTCCAGGGTTTCACATTGACTGAGTTTCTGGCTATGACATAAATAACCTTTTGTTTAATGTAGTGACGACTTAACCCTTTCAAAGCAGCAGCACTGTTTTATTAGTGTTATTGCAGATCTTTACTGACACCTTCATCAAGATCGTAAAACTATCTCCTTAGATGAGCCATAAAAATGTATTCAGTTATACACTGAAGACACATGGAGAATTTCATTATCACCTTCCACAGAAATCCTTCCAAGAATCTCAGTGTTAAAACAGGGCAACTGACAGATCTTTCAACACTTAGTACATCGTACCTGTACCTATTTTATTTAAATATTATTCAATTAAGGCTTATTATATACTTTAATCTTTCCTCTTTAATGTAAGTAATTGTGGGAATACTGCAGTCTTCATACCAATTCACTCTAATGAATGCTAATACAAATACTAATAGCCTAAACCTGAACATGTAAGGAATAAATGGTAGAGGAAAGTGAAGTGAAAGAGAGCCTCTAAAAAGCCCATACATCCACCTCAAGATATATGACTTGAAACGACAATGAGGTTTTCTTCATTTTCTCTTGCTTTAGTATTGTGATAGACGACAGGCTCCTAAGCACGAGGAGCTTTATAATGCAGCAGTTTTTTTTTTTTTTTTGAGGCCCAAAAGAATGAGCGGATTATTACCGGCAGCCCATTAAAGGGGCTTAATGAGGACCGAGACTCAATTAAAGCTGGAATTACCCTCTCATCAAAGAGCAGCTCAACTGTGGACGAGGACAGGGAAATATGACCCAGACACACACACACACACACACGTATCCACGCACATGCACACACTCCATCGGCATACATTACCAATCAGCACAATGTAAATGAATACTTTGCATACTGTCAATAAATAATACTCTGAACAAGCCACTGGCAGACTCAGTGAAATCTCATAAATCTGCACAACAAACACAGACAGGGCAAACATCTTAAAACCACATTGGTCTCAGTGTCTGGCAAACAGACACACACACATACACACATATGAGCACATCCACACACACGGAGACACATACACAAGACTCCATCAGAGTAGACAGTTGATAAGGGCTTTAGCAGCTTGGCTCTACTCAGTCTATTTAATAAGGAGGATTCACATGCTGCCTCTGTGCCGGCTAAACAATGGAGAAACGAGTCCTTTCACAGATGAGCCACAATACCCACGAATCTCCTTACCCAACCAGATATTTTTAATCTTCTTCTTTTTTTTTTTTTTTTTTGTTCTGTGGAAAAGTGGGTCTAAGTAGCACTCGGTGATTAAGACCGTCTATCATCAAGAGCGCAGGAACATCCAGGTGACGCGCAACAGTGTCCTACCTGTTGAACAGATTGTTTCTGGACACCATGCGCAGGAAGCCTGTTGGATCAGTGACTGAGTTAAGCTTGTTGTTGAGCTCCTCAAATTGTTGGTCCAACAAATCTCCCGCCTCGCTCTCCGTCTCACTGCTCGAACACCCTCTGAAAGAGAGAGAAAGAGATGGAGTGAGAGACATTCACGGCTGTAGAAATGCTGGCAAGAAAAAGGCACTTGAGCGCAGTAGACAATACACAGACTTACATTGTTTCTCTGCGGATAAAGCAACTACACACACACACACACACACACACACACACGCTCTTGGCCTAATTTCCCAGACTTGAGCCAACACCCTGATGGTAAGCAGAGTTAAATCCTTTCATTATAATGCTGGTAATTCTGATCCAGTCAGGGGGGAGTCAACCACCCCCACCCCACTATCGCTACCTCGCCACCACTCTCTCCCATCTCGCCCTTCATGCCTGAACCTCTCCTCCGATGCACCCATATCACGTACAATATGTCAGCTTCTTGCTCTCACAGTAGCTGAACTCGGGACCTCTCGGGACCACCATGGGATCTCTCATCATCGCGTGCTCACACTAGCATCACCACAGTTTTTTATTTCTCAAAACTCTACAGTATGCGGCTCATTTGAGATTCGTTCTCCTGGGATGTATACGCTAAAGGACCTTGAAATGCTGGATGGAGAACACAATGTAGTTTTAAAAAAATGAAAAGACTCCATAAGTTAATACGCTGATTTCTGCTGTCACAAAAGCAGCATCCCCTGCTCTCTTTATTATCCGTCCTTTCATGCACACATGCTCTCCCCATTTTTCTCCATCCCATTCATTTTCTCTCTCCACTCATTTCAGAGTGCTGCCTCCCTTTTCTCTGCACTCTGGAGAGTGAATGGGCTGGTAAGTGGTGCCATATTGTGCCCATCCAGGTGCAGTGGCGTGTAAGCATCTTCCCATTGGAGTAGTAAATGAGGTGGTAATGGGGCAGGAGGGCCAGGCTGCTAGGGTGGCGCAGACCGGCACTGGGCGGGCCAGCTGGGCACGATGGATCAAGCAGCAACTAGAGAAACGAAGCTCACGTCGAATGCAGCGTCCAAGCGCGGATGCCAGTGGGTAGTTTTAGCATTCAATACATCTCACCACCTTCTCCATCTCTTTCTGCAGAGTCCCTCTGGCTGCATCTCCTTTTGTCTGTGAGGTCTGTATTTACCAGCCTCTGCTTCTTTTTTTGACTTTTGCCCCATTGATTTTACCACCTCATTGGAAGCCCTTTCTCTCTTCCTTTACTTGTCACAATTGCTGTTTGTTAGCTGAATTCAACATCTCCAGCTATCCAAAGAGCCATTATTCCGTCTGATTTATTTCCACTGGGCAGAGAGTGGACTCCTTTAGGCAGGTAGGAGGTCTGTCATCATGGAGAGCAATGGGGCAGAATAACACTCTTTTACGCACAGACTCATGATGAAATAGCCATTCTCCAGCTAACTCAGGAGAAACAGATTTTAATTTAATTTTCCAAATCTCTGTTTTTGGTTTGGGATCCCGTGTGTTTCTACACTTCCATATAAAGATAGGATAACGAGGGCTTTCTAAAGAACACATTAGTGGCCTGTAGTGTCTTTAATTTGAGTTTCTGTCAATTAAGTATTATGTGGGAATGTTGTTTTGTTTTTTCTTCTTTTTTCATCCCTGCTTAGTAAACAAAGACAACAGCAATGTACAGGTTGAGTACAGACCTAATGGTTAGCCACATTAGCAGAATTAGGTTTTTAGATCAGCATGTTGCAGATTACTACTGAAACATAAAAAAGCAAACTGTGCATTCAAATTAAGTTATAAATTCTCAATTATTCAATATTTCTAAAAAGCAAATGTCAAGAACAACAGCATGGAGTAACAAGAAAAGAAATGGGGCTTTGTAAGGACTGAAATAGTCACCATCACACCATGCGGCTACTTGTGTCACTGAAATACTGCTGAATTCTATCATTTATTTTACAGAAGAGGCAAAGGAGAGATTGCAAAAAAAAAATCATTACAGGTGGCATTACTGCTTCCACATCTTGAATGCTACAGCACAGTCCATTAAGGGACTTGTTTAACCGTATGAGCCCAAGGCTATTTTTTAGGGTATTTTACTACCTTTACTTTTACTTTAACTTTTATCTTAGTTATTACTGGGGCTGCCCATACATGCTTTGTCTTGGGCTATTTAGCCTATCTAGATCTTTCATCATCTGATATGTTAATACTTCCACAGTTTTTCATGTTAGTCTTTACATCAAGGAGAAAACATATTTGTATTATGACATCATTGTTTTTACATGTAACTCAGCATAAAAATACTAGCAGTAGACATATTTTCATATTTGTGCAGAGGAGAGTGTCCAGAATTTGGAGATATCAGAATCATGATACAGTGGGATACTGTTTTACTTTTATAGGTGACCTGTGCTTTGACCACAACTTTGAATCATTGCAATAAAAAGCATTTCCAATATTCAGTTTTTCTTTTTTATATGGTTAGATATAATGTCATTCCTTTCCTGGAGACAATATGGAAATAATTTAAAAACTGGATGACTGAATTAACTAATAAAATCAGAAACGGGTCAGTTCTGCTGTTTATTTTGATGTTATTTTTGCAGAAGTTCGATATGTCTTTGGATGTACTCATATGTAACAAGCATAATTGCAAACTTCTGGTTCCCCTCCTTCTTGTGATATAATATGAATGTGCATTGAGTGCATTGCATAGATATGAACATATCTAGTTAATGTTATATCTATGCAATGACCAGAACAATGTGTGTGAAGACAAGTGCTGAGCTGTGTGCAGGTTGCAGCTATGAATAAATTTTATAAAAATTCAAGATTATTTATCACTGGCACTTTGTCGCACAGACTAGCAACTAGCATTGGTGGAAAGGTCAAGTCGTGCAGTTTCACTTGATATGCAGTACACCTCGCCGCAATAAATACTTTGAGAGCAATTCAACCGAGAACAGGGGGTGTGAATTTGGACGCAAAGTGCATCGGTCGTGCTCTAAGGGTAAATAGAGAAAAGCAAGTGGTTTACTGTTAAATAAGTATGTTATGATGAAGATAATGAGCCAACGACACTTTTCGGCTGTAAACATCTCACCTGCTGTAATAAGACTCTACTCCCAGAGCCTCACGGGCGCTGGCAATGTGCTGCTCCAACGAGGAGCCACAGATCACGCCGCTGACGCCTCCCTCCTGGAAGTCGGACCCTCCTTCCGTCACACCCTCGCCCAGGTACACCTCGTGAAACTTCAGGATGCCTGCGGAGAGAGAGAACAGAGGGCAAACGTGACTGTCTGCTCTCAGGTGTTTACACAGTGAAAGTCTAATAACAAAAAAATACGTTCAACAATTTTCCGCCTTTTTTTCTAATACGTTTCTATCACTCGCTCACGGCAGGGGGGATATTGGATTATTTCGGCTGAGAGCTGTGAGTGAGGCGACATGTAGCAGTGCATCTGTGGAGCAAAATGAATAAAACAAATAATGTTCAATAAAAGATAAGAGTAGGCTGCCTGTGCCATCTGCTGCTTGCCATGAGAGCGCAGTTGAGCTTCAAGCAGGAGGGGAAGAGCTCACTGGGAGACGGAGTACAGGCTGGTGTGTGTGTGTGTGTGTGTGTGTGTGCAAATGTGTGAGTTTGTGGGTGTGTCAGCGCTGCATAAGTGCATGTCCTAGCATGCACGCTTTGCATTAATTGCATTTAAATGAACAGTATACGTGAATCAGGTGCGTATCTACAGATCGGACAAAACTGCAGACTTTACATCAATTAAGTAATTATGATTTCAGTAGCCCTTTTTATTGACGGCAGACTCTTTGAGCTGGCCGTGTTTGTGTGCCAGCTGGATGCCAGGGAATGCCAGGAAGTGACAGACAGGCGATTAGTGAGCAAGTGGCTCCCTCTTAGCCTTGGGCAATATTCAACGCTTTGAAGATCGACACCGGTCCCAGTAGTGTTCCTCCCCTCCGTATGACTAGTGCTGGGGGGTCAAGTTCATCTGGTTGCCTGGGAGCTGGATTTGATCAAATGTTCAGGCCTTGTGGCATGGGACGTGGGTCACAGCTCTCATTTCCTCTCTTTACAACAGAGAGCAGAAGAGAGCCAAAGCACGGCTAACAGCGTGGCAGCCTCGGGGGTCATGTGACATGCACCGTAAGTTCACCCCGCAGCTTTGCCTGTTCTCTTTGCGAAGCTGGAATTTTTCACGAGTCACATAAAACGTGCAGCACCTTAATCTCTGTGCCTGTGCTGGTGTTATTTGGCGTGTCAACAAAGAGACAAAAAATGGAGAAGTATTCAAAGAAGCGCCAGGAGCGAGCAATGCCAAAGGAAAATGAAAAGTAAACGCAAATAAAGACACGAAAAAACAAAGAAGTCACAAGGAAGGGAGAAACTGAAAAATTATGTTTTGACTTGATGTAAGACCAAAGCGCTTTCCTGTTGACATGTGTGAAGATGTTCCCAGTGTTGTTTGGCTGTGTCACTGTGTGTGTCACAGTCAATTAGCATGGTTCATTGGCGGATGCCTTCTGGGGTGAAAGGCGTAGCAGGGGGGCAAATCTTAGCCGTGGAGTGGCAGGTGGCACTACGGCTTGGTGTTAAAGCTGCCCTTCTTACCCCCGCAGCTGAAAACAAGCCTCTAGCTTCTAGGCCCTTTTATCTGCTTTGATTTGAGCAAGCAAGTGTGTGTTTGTGTGATGCGCTTTCACCTGTGTCGCTATTTTGCTTTAAACCATGTGTAAGAATGCTGCTTTCATACAGACAGAACACATCAGAGCTATTGATCGATTTAATATTTTGCATTCATCAAACAATTGCAGTTCATTTTGTGTTTGAAAAACTATTTTTCATCTTCGGGGTCTATGCTGTGTGCAAGGAGAAAAAAAAAATCAAATTTAGCTTGAGAATTACACGCACTTAAATGTGGTAAACAAAGGACTGTGAGAAAAATAAATAGGTTCAGGAATGACTGGCCAGTAAAAGTGCAGTGTTCAGTTATATACTGCAGAAAAGACTGTGTTAAATAGGAAAAGAGTAAGAGGAGGGCAGGAAAGGAGGATAGGAGTTCAGCACCTTAATAAAACAAAATACAGGTTGAGCAGTAAACCACACTGATAGTCAAACCTTACCTGCTCCTGGAGCCAGCAGCCAACTGTACAGGTAACCAGCAGCCATGGAGAAATAAAGCACCAAGGCCCTCTGGCTGTTGACGGTGTCCAAGATGTGCTCCACTGTTACTGGGGTGTAGGGGTCTGACTCCTGCTGGCCCGTCTGCCTCTCCACCAGCAGATCAGCAAAGGCTCGTGTACGACCTCGCTCTGCTACTGCCAGCGCCTCGTCGTGGTGACCTGGAGTGTTCAGAGGTCACACCAATTAATGGAAAAATTCTAAAAGCTAATCTTTCATGTATGTGTAGAGGCACAAACAAATTTTGATTCAACAGCATGAAGACGTAAGTGAATGTGTGCTGGCATACCTAGGCTGACAAGGACCCTTTGGAGAGCCTGGTAGCAGGAGGTTTGTAGGTCAAACAGAGAAAGTTTATAGTCGGTGCTGTGTTGAGCTTCATGGCGGATGGTTTCAAACAGTGCAGATGCCCGGTAGAGCTGTGGACAAAGGACAGCGACGACATTTAAAGATATTCTCATACAAGGCGATTATAGAGTAAATATATATTGAGACAGATATCACGATTGAGGGTCAAGGGTGGTCCGGTGTGACTTTAAAGACAGAGCGATGGTACCGGGACTGCCTCCTCTATAGGTATAATTCAAACTCAATAGATCACACAAAAAAATGTAGGCAGTCAAGACTCTATTAGAAGGATCTTATGAATAAAAATGTCTGCCAGTTGCTGTGTGTATGGTTAGGCTTTCAAAGAGGCGGAGTGATTTTGGCCACTAGATGGTAGCATCCCACCTCACAGGTCATCGCTGATCAGACTTTCCTTCACTTCTGTTTCTCTCTCAGCAGAGGAAAGTACTGTACTGTAGCTTGATGAATGACCATCAGACACAAGTAAACCTCTCTGCAGCTCTTATTCGTTAGGACACTGGAAAGGGCAGTGAGAAGCTAAACAATTACCCGGGCATCTTGGATAGACAGCATCCAAGGAAATAAATGCTTTGTGAATTCAATAGGCCTGTCTGTCTTATTGGGCCTTTCTATTCAGTGCCAGACATTGGATTGAAGGAAGGAGAGAGACAATGGAGAGGTGGGGTGGCAGGCAAGGTTGCACACCGGCCAAGCAGAGCTGGCCAGGATTGCTGATTCATGGGAGCCTTTATTGATTTCCTATTTCTGCACCTATAGCGGCCCTGTGGGATGACGGGGACTGCTATAGAGCCACTCTCCAGGCGTCCTGGGGCCAGCAGAGAGGGTAAAACACTCACACGGGTGGACCATAGTTCATGCAAGACAAAGAGCTGCAGTGGAGAAAAGGTTGTTGGTATGGATTAAATGGGTTCTATCGGCACTGTGGCTTTGATAGGACAAACAGGAGGAGAAAGAGTGTGTGCATTTTCTTGTGAGCATACATACAGTATATGCATACAGTGTAGCTCATCTGGCATATCCCAAGGTCATGCAGAAAAAGTGTGTCAGAGGAAGTGTAGGGGGAGCGTGGAGATCAGCACAGATTCTGTGTGTTCTGCTGCATTAGTGCTAGTAGACGGAGCTGCTAGTCTCAGGCTGATTTTGCTGATAGGGCTGTGGGCTGATTGCTGCAGTGCTAGTTTAATCTGTTCGGCTTGCAGACACCCCCTTTAAGAGTGAAACTAATTTCTCCCAGTGCCTTTTCTTCTGGCCTGACCCGTCCTGGCACAGATGAAAAGGAAACAATCCCAAAAGTGCTGCGTCCACAGTGACTTGCTTGGCTGCGTTACAGGTAAAAAATCTGCTACATTCTTCGGCGGCTGTGCATTCGGATCACAGGCTCTTGTTTTACTGTCACTAACATGGCTTTTATCTGACATGTTAAGTGAATGTCAATGTCATGCTGAATCGGTAACGTGAGCAGAGTTTGATACGAGCATCTCTCTAATGATTTTTAGAAAATAACCTCCCTGGGGAAACTCTCATCCTCTGTGTCAGATGATATCAGAGGTAAAGGCTTGTAATCTACAGTGTACCACTGATATTTAAGTAAGAACGAATTTATTGATTCACGTTCGCTGAGATATGAACGCGAGTGCTTCTCAGAGGAAGCGTGCGCCGCTCAGGTGGCTGATTAGAATCAGGACACGTCAGTCCGTGTGTCACGGTGAACACTGGGATCACAGCGAGGATGGTAAAATACAATTAGGTTTAAATATATAGAGAATGAGGAACATAAGGTCAAGTACTCTCAGTCTGCACCTATGGATGCTTTATAAATGTAAATACAAGCCTTTACAATTGTGGTATGAAGTGGGTCAGGGTATTTACCAAGGTCATTTGTAGCGACAGGGCAGCTCATGAATAACCATTTGATCTATACACTGAGGACAACAGTGTCCTTTCCCACCACCAATTCACCCTGGGGGCTACAAGCTGACAGGGAAAAAAATCTTCAACATAGTTGTGGTGTGAAGGACTGGATCACAGTTAGCTGCAACAGGGATAACACAATGTTAACATGGACTATTAGGGTCTTAAGGTCAAGCATTAAACTGGAAAGCAAACATGCAGTGGAAAATATGTTGCATTGGCTTGTTAGAATAATATTTTGCTTTAATTGAACACAAATTCCTCACTATGACTCATGAGCACTCAGCCTCTGCTCTAGACACCACCTTGGTTCAGTCTTTCTTTCCCAGCTCTTGTTACAGATAATTGCAAACAGACAGAAGTAACTTTTTGAAAAGTATGATGCAGGACCAAAAAACAAAGCTATCTGGGTCACATGGATGTAAGTCGTGTGCGTGTATCATAACAAAAATGTTTTGGACTAGATTTTGAAAATGAAAGCAGCTGAAAAACATCCCAACAGACACACGTGACAGCCACTGCTGTTCGCTGACTGTTCACAGACTTGTGTGTGGATACACAAGTCACGGAAAAGAAAAAATCAAATCTTGAGCTGCAGTGTGTGGACAGACTGCAAAGAGAGACGTTAAGGGGATATTCCATGCTTGCCAGGTGGGCAGTGGGCTGAAGAGGAGCGAATATGTGTGTGTGATGCACAGGCTTGGGGCTCCTGAGACCATGCACATAGATACAGAAAAATCTTCACTCATCTGTCGCCTGTCTACTGAGATGACAGCATTTACCAGCTCAACAGACTCTCCCCAGCATATTGCCAGCAGCAGTGTTCAAGCTCTATAGCCAACTCTCCTTTTTTCCCCTCCTGTTGTTCTCTCTTCTCTGAGCTCTTTCTTTCACCGTAGGGGCATTACTGAAAACTTATTTTCCACCCTCAGTGTGTTTGGACATCTCCTTCCACCTCTCATTTGTAATCTTTGCAGACCTCTAAGCTAACAGATGTGGGCTTATTGGAGGTCAGTTTTAACTACAAGAGGTGGATTTGCTGGAGGGAGTCCAGATGGAGAGGAGAGGAGAGGAGAGGA